GTATTTATTTTATTATTGCGTTTATTTCTCTTCAAGCAGCTCAAAGCTATTGAATATGCAAGCTTTAGTTGATGACCAGGCAGGATCAGTGCCCTGGAGCACCGAAATGCTAGATTCCCAAGAGGCTGCAGATTTCCTTGCGCAGAAAAGTCAAGAAGATTCTGGAAAAATGTCTCGGAGTCGAAGTCAAGATGGGCGCAGATCTTCTGCATCCAATAGATACACTAGTTATTCCTCTGATGAAGACAGTAAGTTTTATCTGAACGATTCACAAGCTTCTCTTAATTTATTATCAACAGTGTTTTGTGTTAATGAAGGATTATGCAGTTGATGGTAGTGACCAAAAGTTGCTACTGTTTTTTGCATTTGTCTGACTTAATAACAGTGCTGTATTAATAATCAGAGGCTGATTTAAAATCAATGAAATAGCCTCATCAAAATGACTCTTGACTTTATGACTTCCAAAGTTTGGTGGCTGGCCAGAGGTGTGCGTTCGTGGTGTATGGTGTGTAGTTTAACCCTGTTGTTGCAAATTCTAATTATTTGTGTATTTCACCATGGTGGCTGGATGGCAATAGTTGCATGATTCGCTTTATGCTGCCAATTTTGTCTTGCGGGCTGTTCACCTCTAATTTGGCTGCATGTGAGTTCTTTTTTCTTTCTGTTCTTTTATGATTTTTTTGTAGTTAATATGGATGATAAATATTTAGTAAATTGTAGCTGATGTGATGTTGTCAAGCTAGACATTGTTCCTTGTTTGAATCTATCATTATGTTTCTTAAACTAACTTATGTATTTATTGCATGTCATTCAATTCCATGTTGCTTAAAATGATCTTGTTGTGTGTGCAAGATTATATTCTTCCGTAAATGTTCTGTGACGTGTGACCAGATCTAATCCACATTAAAGGACTAATTTGCCTTTTCTGTGGAGCTATTTCTGACTGCCAATCTAAGCTCTTTTGCACGAATTATTTAATTGATTGATTGACCTTTGCCATGTAAAAGTTTATAAACTTCAAATTCTGTCAATATACAGTAGGTTTGCCCTTTAAAATAAGTGTTGTATTTATCGGTAAGGAGGTAAAGAACCTATGTAAATTTATGCATTATTTTAACGATTGGTTCCTTTGTGCCCAAATTTGACTTAATTCCGCCAATTATTTTCAAAATAGGAATCAACTGTGTGTTTCTCTCACTCAAAATAATTGTCTTCTTCGTTCACTGTTCCTGAGTCCTTGACTTAAATGCTGACATTGGTTGCCTTGAGAAATTTGTTTTCTTCTATTTCTTTAGTTGTTTAGTTGTTTCTATATATAATTGTCTCCTGAGTAATGTTCGGCACGGTTTAGCTTGTGTAGGTGGCCCTCTCTCACGTTGCACTTCCCTGTCTTTGTCACTTGTAGTTGGAGACACCCGTGAGCCCCGCAAGCGGTCGCGGAGACCATCCCAGTCAAACAGATCGCGGCGCAGCAGTACCGAGGAGAAGACGTCCCGGAAGGCAGTTTCTTTCGAATCCCCTACCGGTGGGCAAGAAGCGAGGAACAACTTTCAGCATGGCAATGGTCAGGTGGCCGACACCAACTCGGCGCGGGACATCAGTCAGAGAGGATACAATGAATGGAATCATACGGTAGAAAGGCCGAGTAGACAGGAGACTTCTTCAAGGGGCATGGAAATGCACCGTGGACTGTATGAAGATCGTTACTTCTCTGGGAAGTGTTCAGACAGTGGTTATGACACCCTCCAAAATGGAATAGGATTCAATGCCAGTGGCGATACGATTCACAGAAGCCAACTGAGATTAAAATCTCAAGGACTGGAACAACAGCCAAGTTCACAAAAAAATGCGGCTTCCTCCAATACTGAAACGAAACTCGATGAAACAGCAATTGTCAAGGAGTTCTCATTTCAGTATGTCAAGAATAAAACCCAAAACAATCCTAATTTACTAGAAGGAACCAAATCTCTCTCAAGAAATTTAGTTTCTAATAGGAAAAAAATGTTTGAGGACCAACTTTGCCCAAGTGGAGGCTCTCAAGGATCATTAGAGTATCTAAATGAAATTTCTGAACATCAAATTCGCTCGAGGTCAATCCTAAATAATTTTGTCTTTGGTGATGATTCCTTCAAAGAACCAGTTGTGGAGGAACCAAAGTACCCAAAGTCTGTCAAAGACCTACTCGCAGACTTTGAAAAGAAGTCAAAATTAGCTAAAGAGAAAGCTGCTGAACTTGAACGGAAGTCTGAAGAAGAAGCAAGGAGATATGTGTTTAGTGACACTGAAACCTTAATGTATGACACCTCAAGTGACCCTGAAATCTTGACAGAGCCTGCTGCCTTCAGAAATCGGCGTTTAGCCGCCCAGTCGAATAAATTTCCCCAAGAAGAAGATGAGGACGGTGAAGTAGCTGCTGCTCTTGGGAGGCGGGAACAATTTGTGAGTGCCTGTCGAGACTTGGGCAAGAAAAAAAGCGATGACTGCAGGGAGTCCAAACACTTTGCAGCGCCGACCGCTTCCGACTGCAGCACTCCTCCGCTCCCCAAGACCACTGAAGAGAAGACCCTGGAGTGCAAGACCCCCGACATGGCGGCCATGCGGGCCACCGAGGAGTTCAAGAACGACGAGTTCCAGTCGAACGACCAGCAGGCGGAGGAGCACTACCTGCCCATGACGCCCTCCAAGAAGATCCTCTCCGACTCGACCATGTTCAACCACTCCTCCTCGACGCTGTTCGAGCCCGAGGAGAACTCGTACGTGGAGATGACGACGGGTGGCCTCTCCCGGTCGCTGCTGGCGCCTGGGGGCGGCGGCCTCTTCAGCCCGGGCCTCCCCGGCAGCGCCTCCAGGAACATCCTGGCCGGCAGCCTGCTGGCCCCGGACAGCAGCGCGTTCGGCACGTACTCGGGCCAGTCGCACTACGAGCTCATGTACCGCGCGGGCGCGCACGAGCCGCTGTACATGGAGGTGAGCTCCGCGTCGTCGGACCTGGCGGCCGCCAAGCAGGACGAGGCGCAGGACCTGCCGCCGCCGCACCACGCCCGCCAGTACAGCAACTGCTCCGCGCACCGCGCCACGCCCACGCGCACGCCCGACACGCAGTCCGTGGCCAACGAGGACGCGGACAACATCCCGCCCACCCCGCCGCGGCTCATCCTGCCGGACATCCTCAACTCGTCCGCCTCCTCCTTCCAGCAGCAGGCCTCCGTCAAGTCGGAGAGCTCGGACGCGGACGACGAGGCGTCCAAGGACCTGGACTCGCTGGACACGCCGCGGCACAAGCGCTTCAGCCTGTCGGACACCTTCCGGCCCGCTTCCTACTACCTGGGCGCCAGCCTGGGCGCCAGCCGCGGCAGCAGCGGCCCTGACCTGGGCCGGCCGCCCTTCCTGGGGGAGACCAGCAGCACCCACGAGCACCACGACTCGTCCGACAGCGAGCTCGTGTCCCCGCCGCCCATCCCCACCAGCCCGCCGCCCCTCGATGACCTCGACACCTCACTCGACATCCACGACTCGTCCCTCGACGTCCCCAACAAGACCAGGCTGTCGCCCATCCACTCCAAGACGAACAGCATCGCGAGCCAGAACGGCGACCTCCCCTCGCCCGCCTGGAAGCACAAGGCGCGCACCGCCGTGGACGAGGCCGTGCAGGAGGCGTTGCAGGACGCCCTCGACGACGTCCTGGACGACGACGCGGCGGGCACCCTTTCGCGCAGCAGGCGCAGGCTCGCGTCGGACGATCTCCTGGACCGCCTCGACGACCCGGCGTACATCTCCAAGGCGGCCGTGAGGACTTCCCTCGACTCGATCGGCAGGCGGAGCGGCGTGGCCCTGGATGCACTGGGGCTCGACGAGTACCTCAGCGGGCTGCAAGTCGCCTCGCCCTCGCCGTCGTCTTCCTCGGGACGGCACTTCTTTAGCAACACCAACAACACCATGAACAAGAGCCAGGCTTCGACCCAGGACGACGAGATCCTGTACGAGAACCTGCAGGAAGTCTTCTCGCCAGCCACAGAGCCTCCACCGCCCCCGCAACACCAGCTCCAGCAACAACACCAACAGCAACAACACCAACAGCAACAACACCAACAGCAACAACACCAACAGCAACAACATCAACAGCAACAACCTTCACGCCCTACACACTTTCCGGGCGGCAGCAACAGCAGCAGCTTCGACCAGGGTGCCGCCAGGGGGGCGGCCAGGCAGTCCACCAACACGCCGACCATGACCCCGGCGGGCGCCGAGCAGCAGCAGCAGCAGTCCGGGGGACAGACCACGCCGCTGCAAGAGCGGCCGCAGTCCAGGGCGGGCGCTGCCGGCCCTGCCGCCGGCCCTGCCCACGAGGACCAGGGCGACCAGCTGGGGGGCGCGCCGTACTACTACTCGGACCTGCTGCGGGGCGGCGCCGGCGCGGAGGAGGCGGCCGCGGGCGGGCTGGCGGCGGCCGCGGAGCGCGAGCGCAGCCTGGCCGCGGCGCGCACGCAGAGCTCGGGGCGCTCGCGGCTGCAGCCGCTCAACAACCAGCGCAGCAACAACCAGCCGCAGCGCTGGGGGGAGCGCGCCGACGCGCAGCACCTCGACGTCAAGCGCAACGACGTGGGCCGCAAGGTGAACCCCATCCGCGGTCCGTCGGACGCGCTGGCCGCCGGGCCCTCGCCGTCGGACCGCCTCGCCGAGGACGTACGCCACACGTCCGAGTCGTTCCTGGGCGCCGAGAAGTGCGGGCGCGTGGACCAGCGCAACCTGTACGAGGCGGACACGCTGCAGCGCACGCGCCGCGCCCAAGCGCGCCCGCACCACCAGCAGCGCGCGCACACACCCGACTTATTCCTCGAGCACAACCTGTACCCCAACGGGCTGCGGGACAAGCGGCGCCGCAGCCGCTCCGTGGAGGGCCTGCTGGACGAGCCGGGGCTGTCGCCGCCGCACCAGCCGCAGCAGCAGCAGCACCAGGCGCGGCAGTACCACCACCAGCAGCAGCAGCCCGTGAGCCAGGCGGGCGGAGCGGGTGGAGCGGGTGCCGACATGGACATGTGGGAGGAGGACTCGCTGTGGCGCGAGAGCCTGCGGCGGGTCAGCCTGCGCCACACGCGCTCCCTCGACAACCTGGACGACGGCCCCGCCGGCCCCGCCACGCCGACCTCGCCGCCGGCCTCGACGGCGACCTCGCCACCCGCGGCCGCCGTGACCATGAGGGCGCCCCGCCCGGGGACCCTGTACACGAGCGCGAGCGCGCGGCGGCGCAGCGAGCCCCCCGCGGGCGCACCGCGGCCGGGGGCGGGCCCGGGGGCGGCCGCCAAACACTACGAGGACTACCGGGAGGCGCGCGCCCCGCCCGACGACAGGGACGACGGCGTACACTACGAGAGGCTCGCCAGGTTCACGTCGGAGAGCCTCGAGCGCTCGCGCCGGGGGCAGACCTACCTGGACGGTTACGTCTGGGACGAGGACCAGGAGACGTTCCGGGTACCGCAGCAACAGCAACAGCAACAACAGGAGCAGCAGCAGCAGCAACAACACAAGCAGCAACACCAACCCACCACGAACGCCAACAACAACGTGCCCAAGATGAAGCCTTTTTTAGAGGTTGGCCCGCCTCCACCATCTACCCAGGTCCAGGTCGGTGGGGGGGCGGGGTCTCAGGCCCGGGGCCGCTCGCGGGCGTGCACGGACGAGGCGGAGCAGTCCCAGCGCGTGGACCAGCGGCAGCAACGGCGGCAGGCGGGCTCAACACCAGTGGGTACGTGATCGTGTTGCTCAGCGGCGGCTGACGAGGCGAGGCGAGACGAGGCGAGACGAGGCGAGAACAGGGGGAGCAACTTATTTATTTATAAGTATTGTGTACATGGCCCAAACTTTTATGTATTCTCCAAAACAAAACAACTATGCGGTTTGTTTTCTAATTTGCACATTTCTGTAGATATTTTATTTCTCACATTCGCACAGATAATGCATTTCTCCTTACACGGCACTTTTGTTTTGCACAATCACCCGATTTTCTGTTTGCGATTTTAACTTTTCTTTATCATTGTGGGTCTCATATGTAAATTTTTGCATATCTGCGTAGCAGTAGAAATGTGTGCTGGATCTATGCTTTCACAGTAACTTACCATCGTTTGTTCGTTTGTGTGAGTTTATAACTTTATGCCTAGAAGTTTTGTATTTGCTTCCACCCTGGGATGGGTCTAAAATTAGATGACTAGACCAAGCGTTTCGATCACTGCAATGGGCTTTAAAGTCAAACAATTAATTACAAAAATTGAGATATTAGAATTTAATTGAGAATTTTTACTGCTGTAGTGCAAACTTGGAAGTATCATATTTTCCTTTCTATATTTTGAAAAGAGTAGTAGCCAATAAGATACATGATACCATACACCACGACCACGCCCATGCGCGCACCTAGCTCACCTATCAGCATTGGGAAGCTGACCATGGCTGTTTCACTTCCTGTTCCCTAGTGTCCTTGTCCCTGTCGGCGGCCGGCTCGGCGCGCGACTTTGTGGGGCAGGTGCCGCAGCTGGGGCTCAGTCAGCAGCACCTGGCGCTCAGTCAGCAGCACCTGGCGCTCGGTCAGCAGCAGGTGCCGCAGCTGGGGCAGGGGCTCGGCCTCGGCCTGGCGCTCAGGCAGCAGCACCTGGCGCTCGGTCAGCAGCAGGTGCCGCAGCTGGGGCAGGGGCTCGGCCTCGGCCTGGCGCTCAGCCAGCAGCACCTGGCGCTCAGTCAGCAGCACCTGGCCGAGGCCGCAGCACAGGCAGCGCCGCCGAGGGACGCCACCAGGGCCCTCTCGTCCTTGTCAGCGCGCATCAACTCTCTGGACAGAGGCAAGGAGAGACGAAACGTTAAAAAAAGAGCCTTTCCAACGAAATTTACTACATGTTTTTATCCAAAATTTATTAATCAAACAAGGCCCAAAGAGCTACTTGTTCCATAGTGGGCAGATGCTACTTTTTCAAACTAAGAAAATAAAATAATTATTATAATTAAATATTTGAACAAGTAACATTTTAAATAACTTTTTCTATTTTGCTTTACAGAGATTACCGCACTCAGCCGAAGCCAAACAATGGAACTCTCAACTCCAGAGAGTCTGGCAAGTCCAGACAGCTCGACGAGCCCACCAAGTCCTGGTGACTTCTTAGAGCTGATTAGACCAAGGACTTGGGAAAGTCTCGAAGTTCAGGAGGCTCGTGCAAAGGAAGCGTTGGAGTTTCGTGAGGCTTACCAAGCTCACAAGGTGAGCAAAAACAGCATAGCATAGCATTTATATGTTTCGTTATTTTTATGCTAAAAAGTCTGACGCGGTAGATTCTAGTTTCTCTGAAGTTGTTATTAATTTTACATGGTAGCCTTCCTAATTCAATGTATGGTTTAATATTTTTAGATGTTTGACATCACATGTCTCACTGTTTCTGTAGTTAAAATGTAGTGACTGCATGTCTACCCTCAACTTTTATTTTGTAGCGATCTGTAGTTTTTTATCAGCCTGTTTCTGTTTGCATGTGCTTATTTTTGGAGTTTTGTTTAGGTATCTGCTGGAGAACTGCTTGGACGAACTCATGAAGAACTAGTCCTATTACTCATCCAATTGCGCAGAGCTAGTGCTGCTGTTTGCAAAGCAATGGAGTCTTGTCACATGGAAATTGAAACACAGGTCTGCTTCTATAATTAGATTAATCTCCTACTCTTTCTGTAAGACAATTCATCAGTCAATGCAATTTCATCAGCTTCAATAAAATGGTGCTTTAATCAGATTTTTTTAAATGTCACCTATGTGGTTGACATGATTATGGGGAAAGCTAGGATTTTTAAGTAGAGCAACATATAATACTGACTGTTGTAAGTGAGAGAACTATTTACTCACTCATTTACTAAGAGGTTCTAAAAAATATGGTTTATTAGTACTTTAGTTTTGTCATACTCTATGTTGTATAACCTGTTGGTAAATGTTGCATGAATAGCATCCTTTATTATAATTCACTTGCATGATTATTTTCCCCTTCATTTCCCCTTTATTTTTTTAATTTTTTTTTCTTAGTTTTGTAGAAATTGTGTGTATGTTTTTTGTTTTTTTTTATGCCTCTGGTTTTCCATTACCAACTGTGTGTTGTGCTTTTGCTTTACAGGCCCGTTTGTCAGAGCTTGATACACCAAAGCAAATGGAACATTTACAAAGATTGGAAGATCTCAAAAAACAGTTGATTGAACTGGAAAAGCAGGTAAATAGTTGTGAGAGTGGATCCACTGTAGCAGGTTTATTTAGGGCTTATACTGGTCAGGGAAGTCAGGGAATAGTCATGGATATTTTATCTGGGTAGGGAAAAAATTTTAAGGGGACTGCAAATGCTATCCGTGGCCCCTTGGCGGTACAATAACAATCTAATTACTGTACATCCTGGATTTCCTGTATTTAATGAACAATAACCTCTCATTTAAGATGAAAAAGTCAGGGAAAATCATGATGTTTTGGTCTAGAAGTAAGGGAAACGTTGGGAAAGATAGGAATGGGACTCCGATCTCACACCGCCATTTTAACCGTGTTCCTCTTCTCCTTACAGCATGAGAAAGGGAAGCCTCTGGTGAACTTGGTGGACAATATGGTGAAACTGGGCTCCCTGTACCATAATGGCACACCCACATCTGGTCTAATGGGATCGTCAAGTATCCAAACACTCAGTGGTGTTCCTGCGCGTGAGCGACTTGAGTTCAACTATAAAGTTCAGGAGCAGCGCCTCCTAGCTGAGGAGCGACGGGACTGGGATCGCTTCAGCCCAGACTATGGACAGCTTCAGGTATCCATTGTAGTCTGCAACAACTCATGACAATACTTGAAAACCCACAAGAAGAGTAAAATTATTTCATGTCAATTATTTTTGTTTTAGGCAAAAGTGCAACAGTTATATCGCTTGGATCAAGAGATGCAAGAAGAATCTCACACATTACAAAATTTACAAATAGATAAGGTAATTTGATCTTTCTTTCTCACTCTTTCCCTCTATGTCTCTCTTTAATTTTATTGCCCTAATGGATGAATCAATGTCCTTTTAGGAACTTGTGGAAAGAGCTCTTGCAGGAATACGTTTAAAGCTAGCAACATCTCAGATCCCACCTAATCTCAGAGACACATATAGAAAACAACAAAGGCTCTTGGAACGAGAGCTAAGTAGAGTTCGTCTTTTATTGGCCCATAACTCAAAGGTGTGCTATGCTGTGTTGACTGTGACCTCGTTACCCTTTGCTAAATTTATCTTGGTTTTAATCAGCCTTTCTTTACCTTTAAATTTTAGAAATTAGAGGAAACTGTTGCTGAAAACGCCAGACTTGAGCAAGAACTTGTTATTCTACGTCAGAAGCTACAGACGTCCCGACAGAATTCATTTTCCTCCCCTCCACTTGGAATGGTGGATGCTGACTATCCATTAACTTCTGAGGATCCTCAAAATCCCACGGCTCAGTTGGAGGCTGAGCTTAAACGTGTGCAACTTATCATGGGAGATTTGCACAGACAGAGACAAGAAATTAGCGTAGCTGTAAAACAACTGACTGAAAAGTCAGACCCTGTTCGCCCTGGTCCAACTGGAGTTGCTGGTTAGTAAATTTAAATTTTAAATGCTCTATGTTTTTCCTTAGTTAAACTTGAATGTCAGATTTTGGTTTGATGTAACGCTGGGCACAATGTGATAATCTAGGTGCCGGCCCCATTCTAGGAAAGAAGAAGCAGCAAAGTTCATGGGTGGAAACGGACTTGGACTCCCTTGTTTCTAAAGACACGGGACACGGTTCACAACCTACTAGCCCCGTCTCGACGACAGGAAGTACCCCTTCTACAACCAGCACCATTCCATTGTACGTCAATACGGGGATGGACAAAGGTCAAGGTACTAAAAATGCCAGACATTGACATGGCCAGTTTTATCCATACACTCTTGTGACTACAAATATTTGGACACATTCTTATCTATTCCATTCTGTACTTTTTTATTTCTGAAGCAAGTGGCACAGAAGAAGAAGCTCTCACACTTCTTACCCTCAATGAAGCATCAGGTACAAGTCTCAGCCAAATTGAACTCAGTGAAGCCGATGACCGTATGAAGAGATTTTATGGTATGCTTTAAATTATCTTAAATTACTTACATTAGAATGAGTTACAGTTTATTAAATTGGTCTTTCATTTGGATTTTTGTTGTTGAAAATTTCAGGAATTATACCTAAAGAAAAGCAACAAGAGTTCAAAACTGTGCGAATTGTGAAGCGAGAGTCAGAGCGCCGTCAAAGAGACAGAGATCGTAGTGGTAACATAGGAATTCCCTTACTTGGGTCAAACGGGAAACGAGTAGCACTGTATGAAGATCAGAATGAAAACAGTGTTACCATTATGGAGGCAAGTTTGAAATTTCAAATTAAAGAACACACAATTCTGTTAGAAAATTGAAAATAAATTTTATGTTGTCTGTAGAAAATTGAAACTGAATTTTATGTTCTCTGTAATGTAATTTGCTTGTCTTGGTTTTATTGCAGCGTCCAGAGCAGGCTGATTTGGGACAGTTGATAGAGAGTGAAGAGGGGGCTTCTGCCTTTGCACACGTTTCCAATCATCATGAAACGATGGGTATTACTGCAACTAGCTCAACGTCTTCCTCACTTTGCAGTAGTGAACTAATTTTGTCAACTGTGTCATCTTCTATGACTTCCTCTGCCACTAATACAAGTACCACCACAGCAGTGGCTTCTTCTTCAAATTTCATGAGTAACAGCTGGGCACAGGAAACATCCAGTAGCCAAGCTCTAGATGAAGCCATGGCCCAGCTTGATGATGAATTAGAAATGAGTGATAGCTCAGTTTTCCAACGTTCACTGTCTCTTCCAAGAGGCTTTGGCAAAACAAATGCTCAAGGTATAGAAGTTGAAGCTGTCTCTAGTGTGGGATCCTACAATTCACCCTCCAAAAAAGCAATGGTTGCATCAGCTCCAGGAAGTGAAACCAATCTCTTGCTGGCCGGAATTCGTAGACAAAGAGTTCGGGTATGTTTAAATGATAACTTTGGAACCTTTTGGTCTCTAGCCCAGTAGTGTCCGTTACTGTTAAAACTTCATGCTCCATTTCAGTTTGATACTCACTCTGGCAGTGGGAGCGAGAGTAATACAAGCAGTCCTAGTGGTTCTCGTCCTTTATCTGCAAGAGAACAATTATTTGGCAGTTCAGCCAACGAACACCTATCCACTGGCTATTCCATGCTCGGTCTAGCTTCACGGGAAACTTCACCTCAGATGAGCCCAGTGTTTGCACATCATGCGGTATGTAGTTCAACAGTTACTCTAGTGTAGTTACAACTGCAAGATTTTGAACAAAGTAAACACCTTGAAACAATGCTTCCTCAACCACACTTGATTGCAGCTTTTAAAAATTTAAGACACGGTGAATCTATTCTGAGGGTTTGTTAAAATTTATGGGGGCCCCCAGGACAAAAAACTTTGAAAATTGGGAAAGTATGTAAATTCAAGAATTGAAGAACGTTCTCTTTCTATTTTTTCTTCTTCAAGTAATAAGGTTTTCTTTGAGTGCACACAGTTTTTATGGCCTCATATTTCAAAGTTTTGAGTCCTAGGTCTCTTTAATTCATGTCTATTATATGGGAGATCCCTTAATGTACTGTCTTTGTCTTTCAATTGTAATGAGAAGCCTCTGGTGATTGGTAGTCTATTGTGAATAGTTTCTCTGATAAAAGTACTAAATGAGTGTATTTGAAATGGTTGTGGCTCAGATGCCCCTGGGGATAGAGGTCTTTGCGTGATGGTTAGGTTTTGTACCAAATCTTTATAGAATCTAAAAAGAATTCTAAAAAATGTTACGTATGTGAAACAATATTTTCATAAGAATCTACCTTTTGAAACTGGAGAGAAATGATCAA